CATATATTCATGGGGCTATGTAACTCAAGAGCATCAGATATACAAATAGATAAATGAAAAGAAAAAGAGAGAGAAAAAGAAAATAAAAAAGCAAAAAAATTATTAGATATTTCTTTTACATGCTAACTAAATGATAAATAATATTAAATCGTTAAAATCTATATTTTTTATCTATCCAAGGGTTATTATTAGTGGCATATTTCAAATGTTTTATTTTATATATGTGTTATATTATATGAATTTAATAAAATATAACTATTTAATTTGTTTTAATTTAAATATTTCGATATCTAATTTGGCATATTGTTATAAATAATAAAATTGTATTTGTTTTTTTTATATATTATTAACTTAGGAATAAATATAATAAAAATACCTCCCTCAATATTATTAACGAAAGATCATAATAATGCATATATCATATATTAATATATTTTTTATGTATATTATAATGATATATACATTCAACCTAAAATAGTCATCATAATCATTATAATAAATTAGAATATATATATATTAAATCATTTGATAAAGGCATTCTCATTCAAATCATAGTTCATATAAATATGGTTAATATATTTATAAATGTAATCTCAATAGGATATGCATTTCATAAATAATGGAAAAAATTTACATATATATACAAAAAAAAAAAAATTAAATAAAATAAAACTATATACTACGCAATATTCATTTACAAATGTTATATTCAACAAATTTCAAACATTATTTTATATCTCAAATTACAGAGATGTATATATCATATAAATGTTTTAATATTAAAAATTTTTTATAGGGTCTAAAGAATTGACTTCTAAATTTTACGTATTTGATTTATTTTAAATATTTTTTTAATTAATATTGATATGTAAAACAAAGTTCTTATACATCTAATGGAAAAATAATTTTCGTTTCTGATTGATTTATGAACTTATTTCCTTAAATATATGCGATTTTATAAAAAAATACATAAAAGGCATTCGCCATTTCAGAACATTACTAATCCGATATATTAAATATTTTTTAATTTTTATATATTCTTAGGTATTAAATAACTGAAAATCATATTATAATCATCTTATATATTGATAAAATATATATTATAAAAAAATTGTTTGATCATATTTTTAAGGAATATATATGCAATGTTATAATTGCAGTACTAATCAAAGTATCATTATTGAAAATAAATGTAAAAGATTTATCATTTTTCATGACAATATAAATTTTTATTACAATTATCTATACATAACTATTAATTTTTATATCATTTTATTAAAGCACATTTCAAATAACTATTTCTGTAAATAAATTTATGCTTTTCATATGAATTGTCTCAGCATATTTTGCTTTCACATATCATTATTTTACATTAATTATTAAGATAAATGTATGAAAATACTCTATATACAAGTGTAATATATTTATTCTATAAAATTATAATGTATTTTGATTTTTTTTTATTAAAAAAGTACTCTAAAGAATTGATAAAAGAATTAAATACTACATAATAAACACTAATATATTACATGTGCTCTAATATTGTAAATTATAAATACATATAACATCTATAGTAAAATATAACATATATATCTTATAGTTTTTTCATTGAAATGCTAATCCCTTTCAAATTATTCAAGAAATGAATAAAATTTTTTATTCACAATTAGATAATAAAAAAAACAATAATTATTACATGTATATTATGTTTTATTATTCATACATAAATAGTATATTTCCTTAGAATTTACTATAAATATAAATTTAATATATGTTATTATTTTTAATTTAAAATGTTTATCCCAACCACCTTAATATAATGTACATTAGAATACTAAAGTTTCATAAATATATGAAATGTGAAGTGTAAAAATATTATACTGCATTCTGCAGCACTCTATATCTATAAAAATTTTGTTTTCTTTATTCTTTTTACTTATAGGATGCAATATATATTTTAGGTATTTTATTATTTAAAATTCGATATACATGATTAATAATATTATGGAAAGTTGGTTATAATTTATAGGATATTCTTAAAAAAGCAAAAAAACTTATTGTATATGTTATAATATGTAATTTATCATTGAACCATATACATCAAAATATTATATAAATTCATTCGTTCATATGGTTTGTATTTTATGATATATTTTGTTTTAATTTTATGGAAAGATTTTATATTTTAAAGATATACTCGTTAAAAAATTAAAAAAATAAAATGAATTATACTTATAATATATAATTCGTAATATGGTTTACATTAGATATATATAGAAAGAGTTTTGTTTTATTTTTTCAGAAATATGCATTTATAATTAAACCTGTATATAGTTTATATATATTATAATTTAGAAATATATATGTATAGATTTTATTCATAAACTACATTGACTCTCATCACCAATATATATTGTTATATAATGTTGAATCAAAATATATTTTTTATGTTCTATTTATATGTTATATATGTGGCTATAATTAATTTTAATAACTTAGTTCATCCTTTCTATATGAAATTATTGGAATCAGTAATCAATTAATAAAAAATTATAAATTCTTAATAATGTAATAAATTCCTATAATATTTAATAGACTTATAATGGTAATTTTTTTTTTATAATTTCTTAGTATAATTTAATGTGATCATTTTACCTTTAAACAATAATATATACTTCATTTAACAATAATTTATAAAAATACTATATTTATATATTTATAAATATTCATTACTCGTTTAGTATATAGATTAAATTAAAAATATATACATTTTATTATATTTAAGAAAATATAAACATAACACATTAACAAAATATTTATATATTTAATTCATAAAAATAAGTATTTATTATCAATATCCATTTATTTTCAATATATACATTCAAGAATAAGACATATAAATAAATATTATGAGATAAATATCAATCATATGATTGCATGTAATTTATTATATTAAGTGATTTATTTATTGTATGAGAAATATTTATAAATCAGTAATAAAAATATATTTTTATATCATCCTACATCTTTATTTAATTTCTGAGTTATATGTGTATTCTACATATTTTTTTATAATATAAATAATTGCTTCTCTTATCCATAACGGATTATTCAATCATATTCTTCTATATAAGAATAACTAAATAAAAATGCAATTTTATAAAATGTGTTCAAAATTTATGTATTATATATTAAAATATTATTTATGTAAATATAGTATGTAGTGTGAAAGTTATAACTACTGACATTTATAACTACAAATATATAAATTTTATTTTGCTTAATTAACAAAAAATATCACAATGACACTCCAAATTGTTATAGACGATAATGTAGGTTCCTATTATTAATATCAATTGCAATATACCATAACTAATTTGAAAACATGTGTATTTATATAAACACAGGAAGATGTTATTTTTTATTAATATTTTTTAAATCGTTTATATGCATTTTGACTTTTTTTTTAGTTCAATTTTGATTGTATATTTCCTAAGTGCATTTATGATTATAATAATCATAATAAAGGTGCAGTAAATGTTAATTAAATCAAACTTAATAGTGTGTTAAGTAGAATTCATAATGAACATTCATGTGCTAAGAATGAATCTGGAATTTTAAATATTATTGCGAAGAACTTATACTCTATTTACTCCATATAAAAAATGTACTGCCCTCTGATATAAAACACCGTTGTTTATTTTTTAACTATATGCTAAAGTTTCAATTAAAAGATAGTCAGTGCTCTAATGTGAACACTAATGTAACTTATACAAAAAATATTAATTACACCATTGAAGGTGGTACTTATCAAATTCCTAATGTGTGTATTAAAAATTTTGAAGATATTCGTGAGAATATAAATATCACATTGGACAAACTGAAAAAACTATATGATGATTTTTTAGGAAGTGCTAATATTTGCCCTAATGGTAGCGATTGTTTTATTGCGTACTTGGAATTAACAAAAATATGTAAAAGATCAAATAACGATAATTTTCAAAAATTACTAAGAAATTTTGAGTACGAATATGTGACATATTTTCCTGGAGTACATGAAAGAATGGAAGTTTTTGCATCCTTGAAAAATTAGCAAATCATTATATTAGCCTTAATTATTATATGTTTTACATTATTAATGGTAACATTTTTTTCCTGTAAGGTTAAAGATAATATTAACATATTTAATGTATAAATGAATCAAAAATTACATTACGTGTAACTATGAGAAAATTACATAAATTAAATAATTCATTCATATATATGGAATTATTCCTATATTATCAGTATACTTCTTATTGTTATTTCTTACAAATGATAATAAGAAAGCTAAGAAGAACTTGGAACAAAAACAATAATGATCGTCTCAACATGAAGGATTAAATTGTGTTGACACACAACAATTTTATTCATGATAAGTACCAATAAAAAGGTACCTCCTTAGGATACCAATGAAAAACATATTATTACGATTAAACAGTTCAACTAAGTTTCATTTACACAATAAAATAAAAAACCTGTGATTTTCTTTAACAATAGGGAAAAAATAATAAGTAAAAATGTAATAAAATATAGTGTTTTAAATAAATTCACATCATTCGCAAAAATTTTAGTGATTTCTATGAAGTACAAACAGATAATAATCTATGAAAAAAATTAACTATTATAATGGGTTATTACTACTAATACAAAAATAGAGATATTAAAATTTCAAACACATACTGTTTTTTTATAATATCATTTATACAACCCAATAATTTTTTATTATACATAATTAAAACAAGAAACATAATTAAATAAATATTATAAAGAAATGAAATATATATGTAGTGACATAATTTATATGTAATGTAATAGAGTAAAAAATATGAAAAATTAAAATAAAAACAATGATAAATTTTATTATTTCTTTTTTAAATAACTGATCATCATAATTACTTGAATATATTCCAATAAAAGCATAGAATCTTTTAATTAGAGTACAAATAATTATATTCATTTACATTTGTATGATTAAGAATGAGCTATTATTAAAATATTCCCATAAAATTTACGTAATTTTCATATTTACATAGAGAATATTTTAGTAGAAAAAAATGAAAATCATGCATTGAATGTTCAAAATAAACTATTTTAATGTATTTGACATATAATATCATAAATGTATTAATTAATATTTGTAATATAATAAAGATAATATATTCATTAACTTATATTTTCAGATTAGTTTATTCAATGATTATGTTTTTTATAATGATTTAATATGTTCTTTAATCTTATGCTTTTTTATCCATATTTATAATAATCTAAAAATACGTAAAAATATTATATGCAAAAACTAAATATACCTATACATATTATTTTGTTAATTACAGCTTAGCAAAAAATATAACTAGATGACATAGATGACTAACATATAAAAAATATCGATACGTGTTCAATTATGATTAAAATATGTATTAAGTAGAAGTAATAATATGAGTTTTTTATATTTTATAATTATAAAATTTAGTAATATAATATACAAGTGTTGTATATCATATAGAGTAATTATGTTTATCATATAGAAAGTGATATTTCACTTTTGATCATTAAAAATTAAATATGTCACATGAATAAATTAGAATGTTTAGTCATTTTTTTATAATAAAATGTCATTAAATGTTATTTATTAATAATATTAAATATATATATATTGTGTAATAGAATAGATATACCCAATCTAATAAAATATAATAGTATTTATATATTTTAATATATTTATTTAATTTTTCTATAAAATATTATATTCCCTTGAATTCCCAAAATGCATATATCCTTAAATATATTGTATCCCATAATTATCTTACTTATGCGTATATGTTTTTTGTCTAATATATATACAAATTTTGTTCTAGTAAATATTTTTCATTATATATAAATAAAACAATAATTTTCTATATACTTTGCTCCATATATTTTTTGATACAAAAAATTTTAGTTTATAGTTATTTGAGTATATTTTTTTCATATTTTCAATTATCATCGAATGATTAAATTTTTATATATTATGTTCTCTTTATTCATTTCATTTAATAAAAGATATGATCATAAATAATATAATTTTAATATATTTACTCATAAGTGTATTAATATTAGGTACGCATTATTTAAAATAATTTCTTGAAGGATGCTTAAATATTTCATAATATCATTTACATAAAACATGCTCGTTTTACATATCTAATTGAAAATTTATAATAAAGGAGTGCATGTATGCATAATCCATTGCAATAAATATGAATTTATACTATTAGAGAAATGATAAAATCATAATATTTATTTATATATAATCAATGTTAATATTTTTTTTTTTTATTCTTGCTTAATTCTTAGTGTGATATAGAAAACGCTATGGTGTAACATCCTGATATTTTATTCTATATAATTAATTATATAACTAATGAAAAGGTAACATATATAACGAAAATTTATTTCCTAACAAACACTTTTTACAAATTATATAAATAAATGAAATATATTAAAAGAGAAAGCTATGTATTTTCACATTATAAAGCGTGTATTTATAAAATTTTGACATTACTTTATATGGTTGTTAAATATGCTTACACTTATTAAAAGCACTAGTACAAAATTTATGTTATTAATATATATAATATGTATATTTAAATAAATATTTACATAAATTTATTGTATTTCTCCTTATATTATTACAAATAACTATATACAAATATCTTATAAAATTTTCAGGAATTAATTATTTTATAAAAAAATGTTACATAAAAAAATTCATAATATTATGAAATATTATCTATATTTAATAAAATGTACGTGGAATGTTTTTTATGTAATAACATATATATCATGATACAGTGCATTTATTTTTATTATAATATTAAATAATTTCGATTGATATGATATTTTATGGAACAACAAATTTACATATTTTGGTATACATATATAATAAAGTGTAATTATTATATATCCTATTCTAGAATTAATTAGTTGTTCTTCCAAAAAGTATTATTTATAATAAATTTATGTAAATATAACAAAAAATTACTATTTGATAAAATCGATAATACGTTTTTTACTTGTTCATATAGTTTATAAGAATATAAATAAAATGAGTTCTTTAGATAAGTTATGAATAGAACACTATGAAAATCATATCTTGTATATTACAGACAATCATATAAGTGTGAACTTTCATATAATTTCACCTAAATGTATAATTATTAATGCAGTATTTTAGATAACTTTTTATTTTACTAGAGATAGCTTGTTTAGTAACTATCTAATAACACAGCAATAATTAATGTGCTCATAAAATTAATATATATGTCAAAGTCTAAAAAAATCTGAGTATTCACTATCACATAAATATATTAAAAAATTTATAATACTTAAAATTTATTTATTGTTGAATATGATGTTTTTATAAGTTTAATGTTAATGTCACTATAAAAAATAATAGTATAGTATTATTATGCTAAACATATTTTATTACAAAATTTAGTATAAATATATTCTAACATATTATTATATATATATTTAGTTTACTTTGAGCAGGTTCCATAATTATATGTATTTATTATATTAGTATATCCATAATATATAAATAGAAAAATATAAATAGATTTTTATTAATAAAAATACATTTAATATTCATTTCATTGCAATTTTCACAAAAATAAACTCTAATTAATATTATATTTTTAACATATACATATGTTATATTATGGTATAATATTCTTAAATTACGCAAATATTCATAAATTATATTCTATAATAAGTAATTATACATATTTTATTAAATGTAAAGGATAAATATAAAATCCTTTCTCTGAAGCCTATAACAAAATACTTTGAATAAAATAAGAATAATTAATTTTAATTACAAAAAAAAAAAAATTAAGATGTTATAATCTACTAAATATAAATGGTGAAAAATGAATGGGATCAACTAATTTATTTATGTTTTAAAAAAATAATATAAATTGTATAAATATCATTCATACTATTTTATTATATGAAGAAGAAAAAATAATCTCTTAAGTACAACAGTGATTGTGGAATTCAACCATACGTATTTTACATATTTATCATATAACATATATATGTAAAATATATAATAATAAAATATAAACTATAAATAAAGAATAATTGAACCTATTTCTTTCTTATCAAATAACACTCCATAATACAAATAAATAAATTTCTGATTCCTTGTAAAAAAATAAAATCATTTGCTCATATAATATAATTCTTATAATCATACACGTATATACACCAATTAACGAAGAATATCTGAAATATAAATGAATAAAAAAAAAATTATACCAGAGATACTACAAGAAATAACAGCGTATTATATTCTACTGAAATATGATTTAATCACTTAACCATATATTCTATATACTGAATACTAAATCTGTGCATTATTATATTGTTCTCCATACTCAGATGAAATACGCTCTTATATCTGAGCAAAAATTAAAATGTTATAAATATAGGTGATGTTCAATATTTGAAGAGCTATGTTTTTAAATATCATTAAGAAGATAGTATAATTATATAGATATATATAGATAGATATAGAGTTCTTCTTATTTTATACAATAGATACAATTATTTTTATGATGAAGAAATATTTTAAACATCATATTTTATACATTGAATATGCAAAAACATAAAAATAATTTTTCATATTTTTATATGATTATACTGAAATATTTTTTCTTTCAAATTAATTATATTCTCTTTTATAAAAATTGCAATTTTATTTGATTTATTTTATTTATTAAAGCAAAGTTTTCTACACTTACAGCAATTTTATTTTTATGAAGATTAGTCCTCTGAGGTATATGCTATTCGATAATCATTATAATTAATATTATTGTATGTCCTATCAAATGAATCCATTAAGTTCTTATGATGCTTATTCTCTTTCCTAATCCTCCTTTTTAACATTCTTACCCTTGGTTGTAAAAATGATCCATAAGTTGTGTACTGAAAATAAAGCATTAATATGATAGATTTGTATATATTTAATATATTTTTTTATAAAATATATACTATTATTAAAAATGTAGATTGTAATCTAATATAAATTTAAATAGATTAAACTTATGTTTAACTTTATACAAAACAAACATAATTGCTATAAGTGCAAAACCGAAAAAAATAATTCCTGAACTTGTTCCTGCACTTGCACTAATTGCTGTTATCGCACTTGTAATTATTTCTGTGCTACTGCTTGCTTCTTCTCTTGTGCTTATTTCTGTGCTTGCGATTGTTTCGGTGATTCTAAATGTGTTTCTATCTTTCCATTTTTTTTTAAAGTATTGCAAGACAGGTTTACCATATCTACAATTACTCCAACTAGTTAAGTAACTTTTATATATTTTCAAAACATTATCTAGTTCTTGATCAAGACTGCCATTATATTTATCTGGATAATTTTCTAAATAGTCCATGTAATCTTCAATTTTCTTTACTTTGGATGCATTTCTTTGTATTGGTTGTATAAAAAGATCATTTAATTCATATATTTCCTCTAAATATCCCATTATTTTTAATACATCATTATCTATTTCAACAATATGCTTCAAACATACATCAGATATATCTACCCTTTTTGGGTCTTTTTTCCGTCTCATTACATCGTAACAATTTTTTGCTGTTCCACAGTAACCGCCATACTTTTGAGCTATATATTTTAGTTTATAATAGAAATAATTACAATGTGCCTCTATATTATCGTTTTGTTTTTTTTTAATTATATCATGTAAATAAAAAAGAAGTTGAATGCATATATTTTCTATGTCTACAGATAACCAATAATGTTTTTGTATATTATTTCTAAAATCACTACAAATCATTGAATACGAAGTTAGTTCTTTACCATGCATTTTCCTCCTACATTTATTATATTCATTTCTACATTCGGGGAATATACCCATAAAATTGAACTAAGAATGGATTTAAAAATATATAAAAAAATTTAAACTATATTTTTATGAAAATATTTTTTCTTCATTTTAAAAATATATTCTACATTAAAATAATAATATAAATGATAATTTAGAAAAAAAGTAGAAGTATACTTTGCTTTCTTCATTATTTGTGGCCATTATGGTTTTAAATGTATATTAATAATAATATATTATAGTAACATTTTGCCTTATAATCATTAGGATATGTGTTATATTCATAGAATATGAATAAATATATGTTAACAATTTACCTGAATTTTTTAAAAAAAATATTTTTACGCCATTCTTCTTTAAAATTAATCTCTAGCAGTATTCCCTTTTTACCGAGTAGTAGATTTATTTTTTTAGATATATATATATCAAGAAAAAATTGCTACTAGCTTATGAGCTATATATAAATATGCAGAGAAAAGAAATATGATTTTGTAAATTTTTTATATATATAATATTATTATAATAAAAAAAATTACACGATGTTATATATTAAATGGATATATATTCATATATGTAATAGATTCATCAAAAAATATTTATATGCACTTCTTTAAAATATTTTTAAAAGGGATATAGCAATAAAGTATGCGTATTTAGCATTTGAGGTTAATATGACAGTATTTCTATCATTTTTATATAAAAAAGTTTATAACTATAATATTATGATTTAATATAAATTTACTTAAACTATAAACAAAAATATTCTTCAATACACATTAATATTATATGTCATATAATTCTCTATATGAGTATATAATGTAATATAATTTAATATTATAATCATATATTTACATTAAATTATTCTTAGATAATGTATTTATTATGCATAAAATGTTTTATGCTATGAGTGGATATCATGAAAATAATGATAATATTACTGCCAAATATATACATATTTTTGATATAAAAAATTAAATTATAATTAAACAAAATGTGCATATGTTATTTTGTTCAATTAAATGTATATATTATTTAATATTTCCAGTAATGTAAATTTTAATAAAATGCGTACAGTATCGACATAATATATTAATTTTATGGTAAAATAAATTTACACAACCTCTTTATATGTTATTAATGAATATAAAATTACATTTTATTCCATTTATAATATTTATAATCTTTTTATTTTGTGAGCATTAGTAACTATAATTATATCACCACTATATGGCAAATGTAATATATTTGCTTATTATTAATACATTTAAAAGATAAATATCTTAGTATAAATAAAAAAGAATACTAATTTTCACATTTTAATTTATCGCTGATAATAATATATAACGCATATATTGTTTTATATTTCTATTTTAGAATATATTGTTTATTAAATTCCTTGAAGACCTAAGTTACTTATATATCAAATAATTATATTTCATAGAAATTCCCTTTAGAATTGTGTTCAATTTTCCTTAGTTTATATTAAAATATTTTTAAAGAAATAACAGATTCATTTATTATAATATTTTATATAACAATATTACAAGGCTATTTTAATAAAATCTGTAACAGCTTTGAATTAGAGATTTTTTGTATTCGATATGAAATATAACCTTATAAAAATCCATTGCCTCTTGGAGTACAATGTGTCTATTATTCATTCTAATAAAAATGAGGGCTTGTATTCCACATTTACTACCTCTTTATGAAATTTTATTATAATTATATCATATTAATAAATTAGTCCTTGTTTATTATTTTAACATATAAAAATACTGTTTTATTATAATAAGAATCAGTTCAGGATACAATATAATTTATAAAAATATATATTTAATGTTATATAAAATGCTAACGTGTGTATAATTATACTCTATTTCTTGGATTATAAAAAATTATGAAATATTATATATTTTCAAAAAAATTTTATAACATTATTAGTATTGCAGATTACACATTATAAAAGCATATTCAAATATGAAGCAGTTATAAGTTGTATTCTCAATGATATTAATAAATAGAATCATATTTATATGAGATAGTAAGTTGGAACAAATATGTGATATAATATAATATATTTATTTTTTCTCTTTTTTACTACTAAATAATATATTTTATTATATATTTTTTCAGTCTTAAATATATTTGTGTTAGGAATATTTTATATATTATTTTATTGAAAATATCTTTGAGATCAAAAAAATTAGTCTTTATTTTTTTCTGGTGTCTATTCTGAAATTACAGTGTATAATTAAAAAACATATTCTCACTTCATGAAAAGCATTACGTTATTTTTTTTTTTTTCCCTCATACGGATTTTTAAACAGTCTAAAAATGAAAAAATATATATCATAAATAATGATATATCTATTTTATCCCAATAATGGTTAAGAAAAATATCACTTCTATATTCTCATGGATTAAAAACGCAACATGAAATTAATTCATACAATATATACGCAGAGAAACATTAAATTTGTTTCATGATCATAAGAAAATAATTGAATATAATTTAAAAAAAAAATAACTTATATATATAAGTGGACATGGTAAAACCTTATTATATATACAATTATATATAAATCTGTAATAATTTTATTTTATATTATCATTATTTCATAAATAATTATAATAACAGATTTGTTTCAAATCTTTCAAATATACATATTTTTCGAGGTTCCTAAATATTTTTTTATTATACGTATGTATGCCTAGTATTTTAGTTTTGAATATATATATGAAAATGTTTATAGCTGTTATTTATATATTGTATAAAATAAGGTTTTTTTATCTAATTCTATGTTAATACCTAATAGCCATGTAATTCTTCCTAAGGATAGACATATTAATCTGCAACCAATGCGCGTTCTAATTTTTTTTTTGATTATGATTATTAGTTTATGAGTACAAAAAATCGCTAATTAAATAATAAAAACCATATAATTATCTTAAGGAATTATACAAATTTTATTCTTACTTTACCGCTTAGTCTATGTAGTTTATATACAAAAAGTGTACACTTTTTATTTTAGTGATACAATTATTTAAAGAACACAGAAATGAATTCCTTTAATTTAGTATGGTCTAACAATTTTACAAGAATGCTTTATATTAATATATATGTTATGGAATTATATTATAGGTTATTTAATAAACTACAGTTATGGAAACATAATTAAGCACTATAGCACAACAAGTGAAAGCATTATTTGTTTTGTATCCTTTTTTTTCATGTTTTAAATGGTGAATTACTAATAATTCTATTACTGAAGTTTATCCTCCTATATCTTATTCTAATTCTATATGCTGTTGAACATTTCTACTAACATTTTTATATGTTTTTCAATATTTTCTTTTATTTTTAATCATTTGAGGTATTCAAAAAATTATATGAATTAACATTTTAGTTCTATTCATTTATAACAATTTTGAACAAGTTATATAATATGTATAAATAGTATCATTACATCAATTGTTCATTTTTATATGATTATAAGTTGTATAATGCAGGTAAACAATAAATTTAGGACAAATATAACACTTTTTATTGTTTTTATTTCTTATAATAAGATAATTGTTCTTTTTAAAATAAATTTTTTTTAGTATATATTTATTTAGTATAATAAATAATATATTTATTTATAGGAGTACAAAAAATCATTATAAATGATTGCCCTTTTATTGTATTTACAAATATTAGATTATCATCCAACATGATTAATTCTACTTTATTATTTTATTGAGCTTTGATATATATAAAGTAATTAAAACATTACATTATATAAAATGAAATATATGGTTCCATTTATGTGTTTTATGATTTTAATTATTCACTCAAATTATTTGACCTTTTATTGAACTACAAAAATATTAATTTGTGATTGATTTATATGATTATGCTAAAAATATGTTTATATTTCTTTTTATTCATATTTGACCAATGAATAAATAATAAGTAATCTGTTAAAAAAATCATAAATACATTATTATTAACATGAGAACTTACATATTTAATTATATTTTTGGAAGCATGAACAATAAGATAATTATATTTTAACTTATAACTTTAAAATTTAATTTTATATTTATTTGTATTTTTTTAGAAAATAACTAAAAGTGTGACAAATAATCATATAAATAGATTTAATTTTCTATATGATTATATTTATTATTAATTGTAAAATGTAAATATTTATAAAAATTCATAAATTTTTTGCTATCCTTTGACATATTATTTGTATGATTTTAACACCGTAAAAACATTTTTTTACTCGTCTAAAGGATATATTTATATATATATATTAATGAAAATATGATGACCTATTTAATATTTTATTTTTTCATAAAATGCTAAAGCAGAAATGTGTAACAGGTTTCCTTTTATTGTACTAACTATTGTTACAATATAAATTATTCTTTTTATTTACTGGACAATTTTCTTAATTTTAAACAAAATTTTCATTGAATGTCTTATTATTTACTATAAATTTATTTTAATACAAAAATTCGTAAAGTACCATATCCATTTGTACAATTCTTTTCCACATTAAAACTAATTCTTATTGTAACCAAATATTCAATAAAACATTTATTTATCTCATACATAATTATATCTTTCTATACTTTTAATGTATAAAAAATGCCTATGTATGATTTTTTTTTAATACAAAGTAATTAATTGATTTCTAAATGTTAATAAGTAAATTATAATGGATTATAAAAAAGTGACAATATAATTTTTACTGAAAAAGCATAAAATAAAAATGACGTCATATAAATAATTTTAAATATAAAAATAATGTAAAACAAACATTAATGCATAGCATAAGATTTTGTATTAATATTATTATAGTATTATTATAATTTTTATATTTAAAATAATATTTGCATTACAAAATAAATATTTATTAAAAAATATATATAATTTGTTTGTATTCTTTTTGTTTCTTATAAATAAAAATTATTAATAAGTTTTCTAAAAATTAACTAATATGAAGACATTAAAAATTATAGTTTATTTTAAGCGATGACAAAACTATACATGTAATAAAATCGTTAAACAATAATATATACATCTATACTACGAAATAATCATTCCATATATATATGAATAGAAAACATTTTTAAATATTTTTATTTGAATTTATTTTTTTTGTTATAATTGTATAATAGACAAATTCAGAACATATATAATTTAAATAAAGTCCCAGAAACTTAGTACATAATATATCACTTTTTTTTTTATAATATTACAATAGTAAGAATGTGATAATATTATTATATCAGTAATTATATTTATACATATGTTTGAATATATTAGATAATAATTAATGTAATAGGAATGTAATTATATTCCTTCAATGTATATATAATTAGAAATAATAACGGCAATTAATCTAAAATAAAAAAAAGTGAAGCAAATATTATAAGAACGAAATATATATACATAATAAAAATACAAATATTAATAATATACTCAAATAATAACCAATATGTCCTGTTAGTATATAATACTAATAAATTGGTGTACAAAAAATATAAATATATTTATATGATGTTATAAAAAAATAAATCATAATTGTAGCATGAATATAATATTCATAAATATATAAAATAATACTAATATATATAATAATAAATTATATATTTTAATTATCAAAAGTATTTATGTATATGTATTTTTATCAATTTTAATAAAATAATATAATCATACATTCATATTAATAAAAAAAATGAGAATATAATCATTTTTTTAAAAATTTACTTATGAAAACGTGTTAATGTGAAATATTAATTACAATATATCTACTTCAATATATAATTTATAAATATTAATATATACTGTATATCCACTAAAAGAAAAACCGTATCCCAAGAACTAAAATAATAAACTATGAACCATGGCATATCCTGGATTCCCTAATGCATGTTATTTGGCATACGATCATTTGGATTGTTTTATCTAAAAACCAGGTTTATGTTTTTTATTTATTCATTAATATAATTAAAAATAAATACAGCATACCAGAAATAGTTACTAACACACAATGATTAGAATAAAAATTTATAATACTTTCCTTTCTTTTTTTTTTTTCTATGAATTGTATAATTTTTATAAAGAGTAAATAAATGTTCCCTAATATTATGTATAAATCCTTTTAAAATTTGGTATTTTGTTTTAGTAAAATTCCATAACATTTTTATTTAATACGAAAAGACATATAGTCATACTAAATTTGACACTCTCTATTGTTGGATATAAATATTATTGTGTCAATTTCAACATTATAAGAATTTTCTATATAAATATACATTAGCTTTATATAATTTTTTTCACAAGTACTTAGTTTTCGTAAGACTATTCTTTTTATATTATATTGGTATTATCCTGTATATTCCTTATCTCCTAATAGTGAAAATGATACGAAAAATGTTGACACATATAAAATTCAATCGAAATATACTGTAAGAATATAAACAAAACATTTAGATATAACTGTTTCTGATGCTGAAGTTATATGTTGTCAATCTATGAAATAATTGTATGTAATGTATACCGACGAAAATATACATCATTGCAAAATATATTTTTTAAATATCTGTATTATTGTCTATATAAGCTGAAACTAGAGGATGGAGAAGCTATTCCAATTATAAAATATTTTTATATGGGATTGATTAAAATAGCTAATTCCTTCTCCAATTTAAAGGAGTTTTTGTATAATGAGAAAATAAAATAATATTTATGATGATTTAGAGAGATTCAAAAATCTATATGACCTTAATGTAAAAATTGATAACATAACAAATTATGGTAGTAGTCAATGTAATAATGAATGGAAATGTAATTGTCTAAAAAGGTGTGAAGACATATATAATCACCTTAGGAATGAATGAGAAACAAGCTATATCCCAGGTTCATATAGAGCAACTAAAAATATCAGAAATATGCTGAGCAATCAATATTAAATCACTGAATGTAATATAAGTATACCCAAAATGTTACATTCTCTTTCAAAAAAAAAAAATTAGTTGTTTCTACTTCATTTCTTATTGTTATAATATTAATAATATTATGTGTCTTTTTATTATTTATAAGATAAATAATATGTATATTTTAACTACAAAATAATTGTTAAAATAACATCAAACTATATATATATACTTAAAAAATTATATTTTCAGTTTAATATATCTTTTTTTATTAGTTCACTCATTACCGCTTATACTTGCAGACTTATATGAAAATGATAAGTAAATTATTTATAAATACAGATGAAGTATATGATATATTGCAATCATATAAAACATATGGAAATAATTCATGGAATATGAGATATAATGTATTATATAATTCTTCTTAGTTATACGATTGTATATAAAATTACAAGAATATAATTCATTAACATATCATAAAAAAGGAAGAAATTAAATTTTTTGGAGTTAGATTCTATTAGTATTTCCATATAAAAGAAAATAGAGCTTATAATATAAAAATATATTGATGAAACGGTAAAATTATTATAGTAATGCTTCAATATAATGAATTCAGAATGTTACAGATATTATTTATTTCTTGGTGAATGACTAAATATGAAACTCATATAACTTATAAACCTATCTTTTTAATATTCTGTATTTTTATTGAAAATTTTTTTTTTTTATTATTAAACAAATCTCATAAATATAAAAATATAATACAAATTGAAATAAGAGATTTCCATATATACCATACTATTCAATTACATTACTTTTTATAATAATGTATTTTCAAATAAGAAATAAAAATGACGAAAATTAATTTTTATTTAAAATGATTTTTATATTATTCATATGATGTTTTTTTAGGAAATATAACGCGCTCCCCTCATTCTATAATATTTATATGTGAAATTTTATTTTAATATAAATTAGTTAGTAATACGGCAACACATGAGTACAAATACATAATTATTGTTATATTTTTAATAATTTCATTTAATATGCCTCTTTGAATTACATTATATATTTTCCCCATCTTATATGAGTAATATAGTAAACATTAATAAATTTATAATACTAAGATCTATATTCCATTATGTATATTCATTGAAGTAAAAAAGAATGAAAATTTATGTTTATTTAAGTAAAAATGTTATTTTATATTCATACACATCATATATAATACATATGAATTTGATTCACCAGACTTTATTACATAACGTAATTCTTAGTTAGAAATATTATCATATTATATCATAATGAATTTATATGTAATAATATATAAAATATTACATAGTTACTTGTTATTTCATTATAATACAAGATATCATTATATAAAGTTTAATTCCTAACATAAAAATGCCATGCGCAAAATTTACCTATCGAATACAAAAAAAATAAAAATTAACTCCATGCCCTTAGCTATGAATTCAAAAATAGCATATTAACTGACTGAAATATTCTTTCATTAAAATGACGTAATATTTTTTTTTATTATTTTATATTGTATATTAATTATTTTTATTTTATATTAAATATTTTATAGAAAAATTCTGAATATATTTTTATTACATTATTCTATATGCGTTTAAAGAAAAAATTTTAATGAAAAACATAATTAATCGTCAATATAATGGGAACTATATAAGACATTATAATTACTATTCCAATATATATTGTTATATATTTCTGGGTTTTCCGATTTACTCCATTCTTTCTTGAGACCACGACACTTGCTTATTATCCTTTTTATTTCACGATGTAAGTATGAATTGTATGGCAGGAACTAATTTGTAATAAAAAATATTAGATATTAAAAATATACTAATATTATAATTTGTTTTTATTTATACTTTAAAACTTATATTATATAAATATATATATCAACATCACATTTAACCTTATAAATTATAAATAATATAAGGGGTATCATTAATATTAGAATAGTTAAAATTATAGTAGTTTTTGATTTACTAGTTCTTGTAGATATTATCTTTATTTTCTGAATTTTAACACAAGGTAACGTTTTGCACTTGATATTAGTACAATCATCAGTTAAATGTTGTAGATTATTATATTTATTTTTAATATCGTCTAATGCCCTGCAAAAGGAGTTTTCATTATTAGATTCACATTTTTTTAGGTTGGTTTCATATTTATCTGAACATTCATTCATACAATCACACTTTTTTTTATCATATGGAAAATTATGATTTTTTACATAATAAAGGTTAGTGTTCATATAATATAAATCATTGAGGTATGGGATATCATTATCGGAAATACTATACTTATATATATTGCATATATTTTTTCCAGAATTTCCATAATCAAAAAGTGCTTTATAAATACTATTTATATCATCATTTATATGGTTAGTCTTAAATTCATTATATAACCAATAAAATAAGTAAAAACAATATGCTTCTCTAGTTTCCTGAGGAGTTAATTCATTCATTTTAGATATAAAGGACATGGCTGCATTGCATTTATATTCTTTGAACTTATTTTCTAAACTATTACGTGCTTTGAAATATCCATAAGAACAAGGAACATAATTTGTAGTTGAGGTTGTAATATAGTTTTCCATAATCGCATTGCATTCAGGAAATTTTTCTACTAAATGATACTAAAAAATAATAAATAAGTATATAACATAAAAAATATACTTTTGATGGAATTTACATTTAAAATTTAGAAAATTTAATACGTTTATATCGTAGCTCTATAATTTATTTATTAATAATATCATACATCAATCCCTTCCATCTAGTGTAAGATTATATAATTTTTCAAGTTATCTAAAAATAGAAAAGCAATTTATAAAAACACATATATATATTTATAAAAATAAGTATACAATGCATAAAGAAGTATAAAATTATATTTTTTAGAATTATATGTTTAATATAAAGTTTCATCAATATTGTGGATGTTTAATAATTTTACCTAAATAATTCAATGTAAAAAACTTGTAATAATATATATTATTAATTATTATAGCGAAACATCACAAAAAATAATAATTTATTTTAAATAAAAAGTGTCATTTTTTTATTAAAATATAATTTTAAAGCTATCAAAATATTTATAAATTAGGTTATTTTACTAATCAATATATAATATGTATATATATGGAAAATATATTATATTAATTATAACATATGTATTATTAAAGTAAAAGGAACTAGGTTAGAGGATCTAACATTTATATTTACGGTACTCTTTTAGGTAACCTTTTTTTTAACGTTGCTTTAATACATTAAAGTATATATATTATTGTTATATGAATTTTCACAATTAAATAAAATTAATCAAAAACATGAGGAGAAATAATATGATTGGATTTTTTATTTAGAATATTTGTAATTATTTTAATATTTTAATTCAACTTATATAAACACACTTAATACGATGCAAATAATTTTAATTTAGAATTATTATATATTATAGATATATTTATTGCATAAAAAATTTATATTTCTCTCAATTTAAAACAAATTTTTTATTTGTTACAAAACGTAATAACAAATACATATTATACAATCCAGTTTTCTATTAAGAAATTTTTGTGATATAACATTTTATCTAATAAAAAAAAATCATTATCATAATAACTACTGAATATATCATAATTTTCAAAGCATTATGAATTATATATTTTTTTCATTCAGGAATATTGATATATATATTTAAGTATTCTTTTTTTTTTTTTTAGATCATATTAATTAAAAATATATTTATTTATAATTAATATTCAATGTTGTTGCGTATTATATAATATGATATATGTAATATATCAAATTCATTGAATATATAGAAGTAACCATGATAATATAATTGTTAGCCTATTTGCTCATATGATATAGAACTTAATCTTGAATAGTGTTAAACCCATAGTTTTTTAAAATTGTTCAAATAAATAATAAAATTACATTCGCTTTAAATACATAGTATACATATCATATTGTAAATAATAATAATTCTATGGAATGAATTTATAAAGCTTTCGAAAATAATATATTTTTTGTGATAAATTTGTGCATACATTGTATTGAAAAATTAACATATAAATTATTCATAGAGCATATAATAATATGAATTACTTATATTATACAGTTATTAAAAAAATTGTATTATATGAATATTTTAATAGAAGAAAATTTATTAACTTGTATTTCTGAGATATCCTACATATGTTCAGTGCTTAAATTTTTTTCTAAGTAAACAATTCTTTTTTTATAATACCTATTTTACAGTTTCTTTTTTAATTTTATTATTCTCAACAATTATAAGGAACATGATTTATATTATAATAATTGATTGAATTATATTAATATTGTAATTCTTATTTATTTGTATCAAATAAAATATAGAATGTCTTCTAAATGATATTATACACTATATTATTTTTATTATGTACATATGCTTAAAAAAACATTTAATAATATATATTTTCGTATATAAGTATTTTTACTTTTCTTTTAATGATATAATATCGATACATTTATTCTGTTATAATATTCTATTTTATTATAATTCTGTTTGTAACGTTGTTCAAATATACCTGTATAATTCATATCATATAATATTCGTTTATATACGAATCGTATTCTATTGCTTTACGTATTAACCTCTATGTTAATTATTTTATATATTATAAACTCTTAATAAAACTATAATAATATACAAAATAAATAATATATTATAGAAAACCATGCATTTATAGCTACCTTTAATGAGAAATATATTATCCATAATTTTTTTCTATATATCTTGATATATTTATCTATTTTATTATATTATTCGGCTGATAATACAAATAAAAATGTATTTTTTCAATATCATCAACAACAGTAAATGTTTGTGAAATAAAATATATTTATAGCATATATTTTGTTCTGTAAACAAAAAAGAACTTATATAGTAGAATTTATATTCCCATTTCTTTATTCAAAATACAATCCATATTAATTATACAGTTAAAATGGGCTATTTACATGAATTTTTAATTAAAATAAATGCGGTATATAATAAATATAAACCTTAAGAATACATGATTTAGGGAAAATTCTAATATTTAATGTAATTAACTTTTAATATTTATAAAATATATATTTTTTAAATGATTAATTTACTTTCTACTAAGTCATAAAATTGTTATTAAATAATTTATGGGAAAAAATAACGCAAACCTTATTTTCAATTATGATATTATAACAAATAGAGAAAATCATTTTTATTATATTATGCTTAATATTAACGATAAAATATACAACACATTTATTATAGAAATTTTGTATGCTACATTGAGCTTTTTAGTCATATTTCTTACATGTTGTGAATATTAGAGTTGAAGCACATCAGAAAATATAACTAATTTTTATTTTTATAATTGTGACTATTAATAATTTGCTAAAGTTGCATAATTCTTTAATATTAAAATAAGCCTATTATTATATAAATTGCATTAAGCGTGAAAAAATAATATATATAAAAAATAAAAAAATCTTATTTACCTGACAGTAAATAATTAAACAGAAATATTGTAAAATCAATGATATATTATCGAATTTATTATTTTATTATAACAATTAATACAAGAATAAATATGCATTAGAAATATAATTATATGCGAAATTTATATATAAATGTAACACTACTGGTGTCTATGAAAAAAATAAAGGTATTCATTGAGGAATATATTGAAAACTCTCCATTTGTTCTAGCTTTGTATAAATAAATACATTAAATGGAAATAACAACGCATGCTCTAAAAGGAAAATATATAAATTAAATATAATACTAAATTGTAGGAATAAACAGTTATATATGGTGAAAGTGATATCAATAAATTAATCGAATTATTAAGCGAATAAATCAAAAAATAAACGAATATAAGACGATATATGTGTGATAAAGAATTATGTATTAATAGAATGCCTATAGTGATATTCTAAGATTATAAGACAACATCTGTATCAGCTCTAGAGAGCAAAATGTTTTAATGATAACAATATATACAGAATTCATCTGAGATGAAGGCATATTAAATTGGGTAACACAAAATTTATGAGAAATTTTATAACTATAAAAAAATGCATAATTTTTAATTATTATTAAAAAATTTTTTTGAGAGATATATAATTATTTGCATATATATATAGACAGTATATAGTTTAGTAACGAAATTCTGGATAAAATTATTATTTATTAGTAAGTAGTTTTATTATTTGAACTAGTCTTTTCCTCATGCGTGTATCAGTCTCGTTGCTTTTCCTAATTTATTTCTACAATACTATAAAGGCAACATTTTCTTCCTTATTCAAAAAATTTTAGCTCGATATTTATTAAGTAAAGGAGTTTATAAATTATTCATAAGGGGCCTGAAAAATTAATATTTTAAAAACATAAAAAATTAGATAATTTTATGTAAAATATATGAGTTAGCACTGTAACATTTAGTTAGGAGTTATTTAAAGGTGATATATTTTAATAATTTTTATTTTTTTTCATTATTTGGAGACATAGGTTGTTGTTCTGATTCATGGGTTTAGGCTTTATGGTTCAGGGTTTAAGGTTTAGGTTTATGTGTTCAGTTTCTAAGATTCAGTGTTCATTTTGATTTTAATATATTTAGGCTTATATTTTGGTTTTAATAACTTTTGTTAATATTATCGTGTAGTATTTTCAATTTGTTAATATATTAATATTTATCTCCCTTGATTCAATGGACACATTTTTAAAATTATATGTTTGTGTATGTATTTAATTTGATATTCGTAGTTTATGTATTGATTGCCGATAATGTAATGAAATATATTCTTTTTACAGTATATAATTATATATTTTTATTTTATATTTTTGTGCTTCCATATATTTATATATATAATCTTTGTTAAGTTTATTTACTATTTATTTTTAATATATTTATGTATGCATATAATATATGTTATATTCTGAAATATTCTGGATGATTACTACTATTGTGATATTTTATTATATATCTATTATATCATCATTTAAGGTTATTTTTTTCATAATTATTTTATAATTAAAAATTATTTTATTTTTTGGGATTGTTTTTGATTGATTTTTTTTACAAAAGAATTATATAATAAACTAATACATTGTATTATGTATTAAATTGTTATTATTATATATATTGCGAATTTATATTTTTATATTAATATATGTATTTAAAAATGATTTTTTATTTATTTTTTTTTTATCGTAAATATTTTTTTCAAATGTGTATTTATTAATATATTTTGAAAATTTATTGCGGTTTTAAAAGAAATAAATTTATTATGAATATATTAAGTACATTTCAGTCAGAGTTATAGTTACTTTAATATATTAGCAGATTTATAGGACATGAATAATTTGAATTAATAATAAAATAAATATAAAATTATTTATATAATATAATTAACAATTTATATGAATAAATATACTCGATATCATACGGAAAAAATTCATGTTACTTTTTACTTAATAAATATACGTAACTCCCCATCAAATGAAGTAAACTGTCTATATTTTTCGCATAAATATGTTATAACAATAAAGATAATTTTAATTAAATATATAGTGCTTTGTGTAATACGTTATAAAATGATATAATTTAATATTTATCGTATATATATATTTTATCATATAACGTAAATATGATAGTATTTATGCACCTAAAATAACATATATGATAATAGGGAAAAAAATGCATAAAATTAATTTTCAGAAATATTAAAAATATATTACTTTCATAAATAATGAATTTATTTATTATTGTAATTATTTATTTTATTATATTTACTAATATTTCCAGTAGTGATATTTTTTTTGTTCCTTTATATCATATTGTATTTATAAGCATGTCTTGAAAAACAGGAAAAATACACATAATCATTTTATTATCTAATATAATTTAAAAATATTTTAAATAATTACTTTTTAAGAATAGATTATCATACTTATTAGTATATATTTTTATATTAATAAAATTAAAGGCTTTGATATCTAACATAACATTCTTCCCCATGCTCTCAATGTGGATTCTATGCCTCTAAACCATGGCTAAATAATATATTATTACCTTTTTTATTATCTTTTTCAGAATATAGTTTCTTTCAGATTATATTACGTAAAGCATATTTATGTGTACATATTTTTAAATATAATTTATATGTAAAAAACACATAATAAATTATGTATTATTTATAACTATATTACTATTGTAAATTATTAAAAATCAATATAATTCACACGAAATATGAAAACTATAATTTCTTTTATATAAATCACTAGAAACATATTCCAGAATTTACGAAAAGTTATTATTTAAATGTTATTTTAGGTTAAGACACATGACTCTTAATCTATGAATCCATAAAAGAAATCAATACTCCACTTATGAACTCCTAATTAATACACCGACATTGTAATAAGACTTTTTGATTGTAAATCTTTATCATTTTTTGCTATTATTTCATATTCTTGTGTTAAAGATAATTTTTTACAGCATATTATATAGATAAACACACATTCATTCTAAGCAGTATCTCGCAACTCCTTTTGGATGATATTACATATATAAATTATAAAATTTTTTATTTTTTTTTATAAGATAATATATATTTTCTTTTAAAATATACGTGTAATTCTACTTTTTCTTGAATATACATATAATATTTCTTACCTATTCAAACGAAACTATTACATATATTTTTAATGTAATAAAAAAATCAACATAGTAATGATATAATTTTTATATACTTTTCTAAATAATTTCAGGAACAATATCAGATATTGAATTACATGCATTGCAAAAATGCTCTTTTCTGTTGTCCTCAACAAGAATTTTCCATAATAAACGATGCTCGCAAAAAGCAAGGTCATATTTACAGTATTATTAGAATCATAAATTACATTTTACCTTTTATACCCCCAATAATACAAAAGTGTTTATTTATTAAAATCATTATTGTCTTTATCTACGAATATTTTTGGTTTTTAAATATTTTTTTTACATTTTTAGCACTATGTTTTTAACACTGCTTTTCTTAACCCTTGATGAATTTAATGAAGCACATTCTGCAATATTCATTTAAACCTTTACAATCATTTTAAATAGTATAATATAAAATTTCAGATGGAAAATATCTAGGAGATATCATGATGAACTCGTAATTAAAAATAAGAATAAGGGAATTAGGAATTAATTATATCGTTTTAATTATGCTATTAATTATAAAAAGGAAATTGAGAATGAAATTAAATAAAATGAGAATATATGTTCAATGTAAAAATATAGGATACATTACATTCACTGGTGACGATATGTTGACGCGTTACATTAAAAGGACCTCACAAATTTATCCAATATTTTTAAACATAGAACATATATAAATATATTTTCCGTATAATAGGAAATATGATTTTACATAAGAAACATGTAAAATTACATTCTTGCCAAGAACCACATATTTTACTGTTAGTACCATATTAGGTGTATACTAAATATTAAACATAAATGTTTTAAATATAAAAATTAATGTGATCCCTTAACATACATATATAAATATAAAAAAAAAAGTAGTAATATTGTAAGTATTATAACGAGAATGCAAAACAAGTGATACCAAGTTATATTGTTAATATGTATAATTAAACATGTTGGGACTAAAAAAATTATACTGTTAACTTCATTAAAAACATTTATATAAAATTTATGATTTTAATTGTTAAATAATTAAAGGAGGCCAGGCAGAAATAAGTAATATTATAGTTAAGTACCAAAATAATGTACTTATTTAATTCCTATTATTAAATTATAATGAATACTTAAGTCAATATATAAATTAATATATATTTTTAATTAAGGAACATTTAATATATTTTAAAATTTTTTTTACATTAATTACATATGCAACCTGGGACATATACTTGGAGAAATTTAGAAAAATATGGATGATACCTAAAATATTTATATTTTTGGTAATAGGGGTAAGAATATATTTTATTGCTATAATTATAATATACCATAATTTTTAGTAAAATATTATTTTCAAATAATTGACATCATATTTTAATTTTGTGAATTAGTAAATATTAATGTGCATATGTTCTTTTATATTCTATAACAAATTTAATTACATTTCATTTTTATATCGTATCAACTAATTTTTTGTATATAGACATTTATCATTTATTTTATCAAATTGAATGTACGTTAACTTTATATATTCACTGTATTCTTTATGTATAATTGTAAATAATATATTTGATTTTTTCTTTGAAATAATATATTTATGCTTAAGTGAATTATAAACCTAAAGGCATCATTAAAATTAACTGGAATACTTTTGTAGAATGACTAATAATATACTTATATTTTTAGTTTTTTAATATATATGAGCTCATTTCCCATTACAATTACTCATACATTTCTTAGTAAATTCATAAAATTGATTTCTTATTAGACATGCTAGTATTACATGTTTATTTTATATTCATATATTTATACAATCAATTTGTTAGTATATGTAAATAAATTAAATTATTTAGTCTATAATTTTGAAGATTACTAAATCTTAATTAGTTCCCATAGCTTCTTATGCATATATTTATTATTAAGCATCTATATTTATACCACAGCTACTATTTATGTTTTTATCTTTTTTTTAAAACAATTCATATTTAATGTTATAATGTGATAAAAATAATTTTTTATGATATCATATTACGCATATTCTATAGTAAGTATAGTGTAATATTTTATTATATGAATTTACAAAATAACATAATTAAATATGTAATAATAAAAAAATAAAACGCGTATATTGAGTAATATAATAATATATTTTTGATTTATTTTTATTATTATATTATATAATACACTTTACATAATATTTATTACAATTGTATGATTAATATTAATATAACAAATATTTTCTATTTATTAATTGATAAAAAAATAAGATCAAATGATATTTTTTTTTCAATAATGTATTATATTATATGATAATTTGTTAATTATAATTTTACCAGTTATTTGTTTTTTATTATATACATATTTACTTATGATTAGTATTATCTAATATGGATACCATGCTTATTTTAGTATTAGCATTATATTCCATTACGAACAATTATTAAAATATGACATTATATATTTTTTTGAAATAATGATGAGTTATAGGAATAAAAACATAAGTATTATTTAAGTAATATAATGTTATATACACAGTGTTTTAACAAATATATGTATAAGTAAAAACACATGAAGTAATTTTTTGTAGTTAATACATGAAGAATAACAAAATTTTATATATTTAAAAAAAATAAGTAATAATTAAAATATAAGAAATAAAAGAAAAATTATATACATTATTTATACACATTAAAATGAACTGTACAAAAATAAACAACACAAGCTAAATGTAAATTAAAGATTTTCTTCACATATAATATAAAATATCGGAAAATTATATGTAATAAAAAATGTCATGATACATTCCAATTAGGAATAAACTACTATTATGCAGATTATTTGTAAAAATAAGGAAAAAATATATTCAAACATATAAATAAATTATATATATATACTTATTTAAAAAAATAAGCACTGGTAGTCATAAAATCATCATTCTTAATATAAATAATTTTATATTATTATCTAGATATTATAATAATATAATTTCAAAATGAATATAATTTATTAAAGAAAAACGTACTATATAGTTAAAAATAATATATTTTTTTTTATTAATGAGTAGAAATAAAAATTTTTTAATAATAAATTGGTTTTTAAAGTATATGCACAATTCTACTTTATAACCTAATTTTTTCACAAATTATATGTCTATTTTGAATAATCAACTTTTTCTAGTCTTCATTATGTTACTATTCAAACTATTAGAGTTTTATAAGGTTTTTAATTTATATCTAATGACGATATACGTTTTATTTAACTCATTTTAAGCATAACTTATAATTTTTATATTCCTTGTGTGAATATAATTTTTTTCTCTTATATACTTTACCACATTTATATATTATTATTATAACAATTCTATGTAATTAGATTATTCACCTTGTGGATAACATATATGAGCATAAAATATAGAATGTATAAAATTGCCCAATTCTTTCTATATTTAATATAAGATGTGCTTTTGTTTGCATGATTTTTTTTTTATAAATATATATGATCAGTTTTCTCATATTATTATTTGCGCTAATTTTTATATTAATATACTATATTTATTTAAAAATTGTATAAAAAAAGATTTATTTTTTTATTATAAGTATAAGCAGGATGCATATATTTCTACTTTTTTTATAATTATATATGCGTATAGCTTGTCGCTACAGTTTTTAATATAGTTCGTAAATTGAAATATTAAATTTTTGCATGAGCATTTTAAAATTATATTCCAGAAGTATAGGTTATGTTATAGTTTTTTTCATCAGTACCTGTAAGATCAATTTCATATTTGAATAATCTATGCTCGCATTGTTCGTCCTTCATATTCATTGTCCTTCTTATCTTTCTCAGCATACGAAGGCGTAAAATTTTCCAAAATTCTCTATACTAAAAAAAGAGTTATATTTAATGAATTCTCAAGAATTATTAATTAATCATGTAATTTTTTGTTTTAATATATTATATAAATATCATACAGAGGCATTATTTTAAATTCAATTATAATTAACCTGGTAGAGATATAAAAAAATTGCTCCTAAGTTTATAGTAAAGAGTACTGTTGTTATTATTACTTTTTTAGGGCTATTATTAGTAGAAAAGGTTTCAACAAAATTTATTTTAGAATGCATCAATTGTTCTTTCATTTGTTCTGGTGACTCTATTACAATGCATTTTTTTTCATAATATCCAGAATTAATTTTTTCTGATAACTCTAATAATTCTCTGCTGCATTTGACATTGGATTTCAATTCATTCTTTTCAATTAGACAACTAATATTATTTACTTCAGCAAGAAAGGCACTATCGAAGGGGGATTTTATTATATTTAAGAGTTCACTATATGCCTCAATCAAACTTTGAAAATAATAACATAAATCCTGACCAGGAATTTCATTTGCCCTTATTTGAAATATACTCGAATATATATCATATATATTATATAGTTTTTTTTTTTTTTCATATATGATTCCATCAATATCTTTTAGATTGCATCTAAATTTCATATTATTCGCATCATAATTATAATTATTAACAAAAGCTCTCAAATACATAGATAAAGTTTCATTAGTACTTATATATGTCATGTCATCTAGCTCTTTTATATAGTAGTTTATATAATCACAACATTTATTGTAACTACTTGAATAAATATGATTAATATACTCAAAATATGCTTTTATTTTCATACAAAAAGATTGAATGGTTGTTTTCGCAGCATCTACATCTTTGAAATCTTGAAGAAATTCTTCAATGTCATGAGTACTAAGTGATTCTGCAGGACTTATAGAAAATTCACCTTTGTATGATATATAATCTTCATAATTGAAATACTAATAAAAAAATATATTAATTATAGAAAATATACATATTAAAATAAATATTAAGCAAAAAATGTTATTATTGAATTGCTAAAATTATTCATGCAAATAATAAGATGTTATTCATTATAATAGAACAATATAAAATTTACGGTTTCTGTAGATACAAAAGCATCCATTGTATGAATAAAAAAGAACAACTTTAATATTAAACTTGTTTATTTATAAATATCAAATACTATATAAAATTAAATATTATTTGTATCATGTGTATTTCTATTACGAATTTTATAACTTATTCATGTTATTTTTTAGAAATTGTATATCTATTTATATATATTTGCACAATACAATTTCTTCTTAAAAGACGAAAATCAAAGAATATTAAGCAAAATGTGAAACTGATTAATTAATATATATAAGAAAACCTAATATTTAGTAAACATAGAAACATGAAATTACTATTAATATAAATAGTTAATAGTTTTATTAATGTTTTACATATCGAAATAGATAATTTATTATACACAATATATATGTAGTGAATAATGAACAATATGATAAATATAAATGTATCATTGGATAAGAATTATATAGACAATGATATGAAATATTTTATAATATTATTTGAATATTATTATCATTCGAACAAAAAAAATTTAGTATGTATATTATGGGCATGTATATTCAAATTAAATATATTACTCCTTTTTGAACCTTCTCTGTTCTATAAAAAATATTTTTATTAAGAAATACCTTTATATTATAAGAGTCAATATTTATATAAAATAAAAATAATATAAATGATATAATGTATTTGCTTTGAGGTTTATATAATTACAGGGAACCATAATTATTACTAAAGATAACTAAAATTTATATTGATATCTATTGTAATATATTAGATTTTAAAATAAATGGTTATTCATTATGCCCAATTACATATTTTGTTTAAAATGATATATTATATTTATCAATATAAGAATTAGAATAACGGAAAACTCTATCATTTAGTCGTACATAAAATTAAAGAAAAAGAAACACGGCATTACATAAAATAAAAACATATCACTTATCAAATTTAATAATAGAAATCAATTCTCCCTTATGTAATAAAATGGTTATATATTCCTATTTATCAAATAAAAGAATTCAGGTAATAATGAAAAAAGTTAATATATATAATAAATGATTATATCATTCAGGGTGTGTAAATATTATTTAAATTTATATATATTTTAAAACATACGAATAATAAGAATTTATATAAATTTCCTTGTACTGATCTTTTAATCATAACATATAGATATGTTTATTTAAATACACCATAAATTGATATAATGTTATTATTTATATGAAATATTAATTATAATATTTTATATAGTATTAATTGAATATATATTTTAATTTAATAGTTTAGCAAAATATTGAATTCATATATTTCTATACTAATTGATCATTTATTATTCTTGATATCTATTGTTTTATGTTATGAAGCTTAAAAATAATCATTTATATAAACATAGTATAATGAATGAATTATTTATTCTAAAATATATTAGAGTTCTATTATATGCTCACAATAAGGGCGTATATATTTTGAATAATAATATTTTCTTCTCTTATGTATATAGTATTTTTATTACAAGATATTATTATCAGTATATATTAATATATATTTTATCAAAATAATTATTTTTCATTTATTAATATTATATATATAATTTATATAAGTATAATGGATTTGTAACGATACGTAAAATATTCCTAATATAATTATATATTGTTCATACGATACTTGGACTTTATATATATAAATTTATTTTACTTTAATAATTTTAAAATATCATATAAGACAAGTATATTTCATCAATATTATTTATTTAGCGCTTAAAATCACTCGAATAATATTTAATTTATTAAATCTTTTGCATTTTTACTTATTTATGATATTATATATAAATGTATTTGAATTATGTACTAATAAAAATTTTGAGTAGAATAAATTATTATACACACAATATATTTCATTTTTCATCGAATAATAATAAACGTCATACATATTGATTTTTTCATAGGATTTCATTTCATAAGAAATTATATTAAAGAAAATTATTTTTTTATATCATATATAAAATATACATATCGTGTTAGCAATGTACAAAAATAATAATTATTCCACATATTAAAAATCAATTATTTTATTTAATATTTACATAGTAATATAACAATATGTTTTTTATGAATAATTTTCCATTTATATATTTAAAAATTTCATATATATTTAAAATGTTGTGTAATGAACTCTTAATTTTACAAGTATATCAGTAAATAAAATATATTATTCATATTAACTTTTATACTAACATGAAGTGTTTATTATCTTATTTAATAAAATAAATCACTTTTTAATCTTATATTATGTTATAAGCTTTGTTGATGAAGATATATATAAAAACAATTTATATATTAATATTATATTTCATGAATATTAGACCTTCATGAACATCACACATTTAATATTATATTATGCGTCTGTTAACATTTTACTATAAGGTATGATCATAAAATATGAGATTATATAAATACGATTTAATGATGATGCTTATTGTTCAAAGGAAAAGAGAAAAATGGTTTTTCATTGATAATTAAAAAATAATTAAATATTATTCTACTTTATATGCAAAGTAAGTATCCTAATCTGTATATTCCATTTAATAAAAACATAAAAAATATATTATATAATATAAAACAGTATATATAAAATATGTATGAGACAAAATATATTAAAGTTGTGTTTTTCTATTTTTCTTTCTTTAATTTAATTATATATTTAATTCTGTCATCCTAATATAAATTCACATTATGTATACTACATGAATTTTTAAAATATACAAATAGAATTATCTGCATATAAGATCATAATGTACATTAATTTACAAAATTATTATGACATAAATATAAAACCATTTACTCCATAAATTAAAAGCGTTTTTTTTTCTTTATTGTCATAGGATTAAAGAATAAATGAATGTATATTATTAATATATAATGGTAATTTCTATATATTCGCAATAAAACATTTATTCAAATAATATATATAGGGGAACTGGAAATATATTATTAGGTAACTAACGTTATAAATTTTATTATAATAGGATTTGTTATATTTTTAAATACATAATTATACATCTTAGTACTCCCACATAATTATATGCAGAAAATTAAAATGCTAGTTTATTATATGTTGATATATGTTTCATTAGAGATTTTGGGATAATTACATATACTTCAAAAAAAATATTAAAACTGTAATATTATACTTGAAATACATTACAACAAAATTATATTGATCGTTTTGCTAGAATAAATGTTTATATAATGATTCTATTAATTATAATATATTCCTGTATTACTAACGTGTTTAATAGCAGTAAAAATATTATTCTACTAGATATATATTTCTAACATGAAAATATAAATAATTTCTTAAAAAAATATTTATACTATTTTAGAATTATTATAGATTATTTTACTCAGTTATATTATTTTCACTTCATATTTATGTAAATGTTTTATTATATAGATAATCATAAGATACTTAATCATTATATACATAATGTTATAGGTAAATATATTTTAATTAATACAATCATTTAGGAAAAAAATATTTATTTTTATAATGCTTATAATATTTATAGTATTTATTATGCTTAAAAATTACACTTACTCATCCATTATTTTATGACAATTAACTTTTTAATAAGCACATATATTAATATATATTTCAAATAATATAATATTCATGAATACTAATAAATTGAAAAGATTTCCCTTTATTCGAGCAAATGAAATATTGATATAGTACATATAAACGTTAATTTAAGACTTTTAATAACATTTTCTCGGTAGTATAATTATTTATAATAGCACACATAATTATATATGTCTTACAAAATATGCATATATGATTCATAGATTACATAATTATTTTATATATTGTATTACCTATTAAATATTGATTTTAATATAAGGATAGTGTTCAAGTAGATAACAAAAATTACGCACATCATACATCATATTGTTATATATAATATCTCTTAAGAAAAAATATTACTATTCATTTTTTTTTTTTTTTCATGTATGAGATACAACAAACATTGTAAATTAGGAATTAATAATTTAATTATACTGATAAATATAAACAAAATTACTAAGAGAAACAAGATTTTTAATGCAGAGTTAAAAATAATTAGAGCATTTATATTGTCTTAAATAAATTATGGTATTTAAAATTATGAACACATTAGACAAAAATGGGGCATTCATTATATATAATTATTATAATATACTATATGTAAGAAAAACTGAAATATATATATATTTATAAAGACATGATTAAAAAGTATTATACATAAATGTTATAGAAAATTTTCCATATAAATTGTTCATTTATACAATGAAATTAATATATGCGTTGTAATTTATTATATACATGTATTTCCCAGATGCATTTTCATTTATATTTGAACATATTTTCTTTTGATAAAAAATATATTATACATATTAGCCTTTACATGGATATAGTAATAATGATATGTACAAATGAATAATAAAAAGGTGTATCACTTATTCATAATAAGATATAATAATATGAAATCTATAATATTAATCAAGAACATTTTTAATAATAATATTACTTAGTACATGGTCGTGCTTATACATCTAGTTATATGGAAACAATAAAAGTGAAACCTTCTAAGGTATCAAAATTTAACATATATTTCATTCTCTCTTAGAGTATATAAATTTATATTAAAATAGAATATTTATATATAAATTAGAGAAAAGATTAAATACTTATTCAAATATGATACAATAATTTTTTAAATATTTAAAAATATATTTTTATAAATAAAGAGTTAATATATAATAAGGTTACTTGATTCTATAAAAAAACATATACATAAAAAATATATCCACATTAAAAAAATGCAAAGTATTATTATAGTATATATTCTATTGTTCATTTGAATGCTGTTATTATTTAAAATTAATAAAAGTATAATAGTATTTTATAATTATGCCTATAAACAAATGACTATAATCCATATAAAAAAATATAATGCAGTTTATTTAATAAATTATATACAATATATTTAAAAATATAACGTTTAAT